CGCCCAGGGAAGCTTAAAGAAGCCACAAAAGTGGTACCGTTTAAGTTGAGAGGGTTGGCTGATCTTTTTTATTTGTTTACAACAGACAATATTTCATTCGGCTTTGTGTCATCATTCATTCTCTAACAAAGTTCAGGAAAAAACATATGTAGCCTACTTTATATATATTTTTAGGATTGTTCATATCTATCTGAAAATAAAACAATATAGGCCTACATTTCTTAAATGTCAAATAAACAATTCAAATATAATAAATTAAAATAGCCCCTCACTTTGTACAATTTCTATGTCTACATGACAATGTTTATATGCAAAATATACATAGCAAACTAGCATTAGTAAAACCTTTGCGTCATTTGAATTTGACGGTCATTAAGTACGAAAACGTTATGCCATGAGCAGCGACAAGATTTGCAAACATAATTAATCACTTTATTAAAAACAATTTTGCAATTCCAGAATGAAAAATGTGTGTGTGTGTGTGTGTGTGTGTGTGTGTGTGTGTGTGTGTGTGTGTGTGTGTGTGTGTGTGCGTGCGTGCGTGTCTGTGCGCGCGTGTTTGTATGTTAGAGTGTGTGTGTGTGTGTGTGTGTGTGTGTGTGTGTGTGTGTGTGTGTGTGTGTGTGAGCGTGTGTGCGAACTGTTGTCCGTCAGATTGGATACGTTTTATAACCCTTTCACTGTCACTTTTCAAACTACAGTGTTTTCAAATGTGTTAATTATACATGTATGACCTAAAGCCATATGCAAAGACATCATGGAAAAAATCAAAACATAAATAAATCAAATTGGAAATCGTTGTAATCTGTGTTCCCTATCTCCGACATTTGATCCCACAATATCGGATATATTTCCACAGACCACCCATTGTATATAAAAACAATGCCTTGATTGCTATAATGTACAATTAAATATTAATAAACAACTAGTTTCAAAACAGCTGAAAACATTTTAGGACTCGTGTGGTTTCAGTTGTAATTTAAGTGTTTTCTGTATCATACACCAAGCAGGCCTTACTGTAACCGATGTAAAAACACTTTCAAAAATTATGAGCATTGTCAACTCCATATTTTATTAAAAAATATATATTATCAAAGGCACTGGGAGAAAAGAAATCCACCACTGAGTTTAATGAGTCGTAACAATGCAACAACAAATCAGCGAAACGACAACATCCCCAATTTAGAGACTGTTGCAGCACTTCCTGATAGTTTCCCCTGGTCACCACCAGAGGTTATCAGCCCCCCGTCTCATGCGTCTGCTCACAGTGGCCTGCAGAGTATAACGCCTCCACACACACAACCAAAAGCAATAAAACTCTTCATACATTTTACATTTCAAGGTAAAAATCAGCAGCTGAAGATGCGTCCAAAGAGTCTAAAAAGTTTTTTTAATCTTGTGTTTGTATTTGAAAAGATGCTGTCCAGTCTAGTATGAATTCCGTGTTTTCCTATGAGGTAACTGTTAATCCCGGGAAAGTAGACCATTTCCTTATTTTAGGTGACAGGATAAACCATTAAAACATTACTTTCTGGAAACTGGATATTGAGTGCTGGGATAACGGAATATAATTCTATATTTCCTTTTACCATTGAATATAGAACTATTTTAAAGATGCGTATTTGGGTATTTCGGTGATAACCCGTTGTGAAATGTTACATTTCTAAATACATTTCAAATTTAAATGTAATATCTATTCAAATTTAAAATGAAATGTGACATTGTAAATATAAATGAAAGATAATTTGCATATTCTTACAGTTTTATCTCATTGTTTAAGATTATTAATGTTATGTGGCAGACGTTGGTCATGTTGGACGCCATAAACACAATTATAATGTATTCTTTAATATCGTTAAATGTCAGGAGTTAAATTGTAATTAAAACTGGCTTATTTTATTTTTCTCAACTAGGCCTACATCACCGCATCGCGCTCTTTACTTTGACAAAAATAATCACTTGTAACATGAAATACAAAATATTACTCTTAATTAGTTTTGTTTGTTCAATGAACAGCAAATTGTGTAAGATAAACAGCCTAAACAGCCAAAACTATCCACGTAGGCCTACCGCCGGTAGGAAGAAAACGGCCATACCTTTAATCGTTATATTGTGGGCGACGTCGTATTATAATTTCCTCTCGCTGTGCAGACAGTATGGCTGCTTGCTGTGGGATTACTGGTGTTGGTGTGAGACGTCAAAAATCCTACCTGTCCTCCGTGGTCAATAACACACACCTCACGATGTGTGCATGAAACCATTGGCGGTTCCAGCGTGTATGGGCCACAGCAATAACTTTTTGGCAGACTTCTGCAGAAAACACAGAAAAATAACGGAGCCCAAATGTTAATGCAATGCTCTGAGAGATGGTCAGAAATGCAGGTCAGAGGATATCGCTACACTTCCCCTTTTTTATGTATTTATGGCATGTCATTAAGCTTGGCTGTCTAGACAGGGAAATAACACCTTGTTTGCCTACAAACAAACCGCCAACGTTGGTGTCCAGCCCCCTATTTATTATTCACAATCTGCTGTGATGTCAAGGTCAAAGTGACTGCATAGTCATGGTCAAGGGTAAATCAGGAGACCCAGAACTTTACACAATGATTGAAAACCCAGAAAGCAGACAAACAGAAACTTGAAGTCCGACTGCTTGGATTCTAATCAACAACCTCAGAACATCCGAAGAGCTGGAAAAAGTGATAGGGCTGCCAAATACTGACCTATAGAAAAAAGTAAACTACAAAAACACCAGCACACTTACATATATATTGCAAATGATACTGTGTGATGTTTTCGAAAAAAAACTACATTAGACCTTTAGTATGGCTAGGCCTCAGACGTGATTCATTTTTGACAAAAGCTGCGGGGCAGTATTTATTTTTATTTATATCTAACCTTAAGAACAATCTGCGATTATTAGGGATGGAAAAAAAATGATCTTAGACTTGAGAATCCTAGTAGGTTAAAATGAACCATCTTTAATATGAATCTCATTTTTAAATGTAGACACATTTTCCCACATACGCCTATATATTTTTTTTTATAACTACAACTTAAGTAACCCAACTTGCCTTTAGGACTATAAGGTCTTAATACTCAATAACACTGGTCTCATGCATTCAAAAACACGTCCCGCAACCATACAAACACACACAATCTGCAAATATTAAATACACTCTCTAAACCAAACTAGAAGCTCAATCTGCAGTGCTGCTTCGGACCGATATGTGTACTCAATGTGTGCTTTATCGTACGTGTATTTCCGTTATTAGGTGTTTAGAATACAAATAAGGGGTTCATAGGTAACATTATACAATGTATCTTCAAGTTCATTGCTAAACTCACCTGCTTTTTAACAGTGATAACAGGGTCTAACTTTCATCCAAATACGTGCGGGTGATGCTACACCAAACAGGCATTGTGTGCTTCAAAATGTATAAAAATGCTTTGCCATTTTAAATTGAGCATTAATTGTTTATAAATGACAAAAAGCAGAATCAGCTAAATATGTGGGCCTTAAAGTGGACATATAAGTGTAAGGAGAATACACGAGTCCCCGTGGAACTGGTGTATTGTGCGGGAACAATTCTCGTAATTTGAACAAATAAATTGTAGCCTACCTGTGGAATATCAGAATATAGCCTATGAATATAATATTGTGCGGTCACGAGTTACATGTTTCCGTGATAGCGGACAAACCCGTCTCTTTTAATTTTGGTTTGTTTGTGATGATTCTGAAAACTGCAAAGTATCCTAGCAAGTAAAACACCTCTGACATTCAGTTGGATAAAATACGTTTGGATGTCAGGGAGGATAGATTCGGACAAACAACACGAGTTTCTCTCAGCCACCGACTGTGTTCCTCTTAACTGATTGTTTTTGAAAGATCCAACCCTACAAGTCTTCATATATAATATCTGGAATATAAATTTAAATATTATGATCCATTTTGTATTGCAATGTGAGAAAAGCCGCCATGCTGTTCACCAACGACGCGCAATTACTACATCGTCTACTTTCGCCATTAACAACACTCCAGGATGCCCAATAAGTCTTAATCAAGCACTCTGCAGCATAAAATCCGCACCCACCCATCCGCTGCTGATGTTATGAACCTGAAGAGCAAAGACGACATTGCTTAGAGCTTCTGCTGCTTAATGACACCAGTGTAACTTGAAACGAGAGGAAACGCTGCAAGGATGGTTGATTGACTTGAATATTTAAGCATTTTCATAATCATCATTTATTTATGAAACACGTTACCAGTACGTAATTCAACACCACAATACAGTTCACATACTGCACGAAAGTAAAAATAGACAGGCTTCGTACACGGCGTGTGATCAGCTAATGCTACTCTAACATTAAACAAAGACAAAAAAGTAATACAACGATTGTGCATTTATGTGTAATACTCACTGACTTTTTAATGGTTTACAATCATTCCAGTTGCATGACAGAATCCTTCACTGACAAAGGAAAAACATACAGGTCTTGGGATATTCCAGTTACAGTTCCGCCATACAAGATAATATGAATTAAATAAAAAGGCATTGCACTATACAGATTAACAACATAGGAGCCTTTGTTTTATCACAGGCTTATTAAATGATTCCCCCACATAGAGAAACATAGCGTTTGAAATTAAGTAATATTTTTAAAAGAAAATCATTCTCTCTTTCGAAAGTCCTCTTTGTGAGCTTTTTGTTGAAGAAGTCTCAAAGTCAGCGCGTCATTGCTCCACAAATTATGTCCATGTGGCGATTATCTTTCTAAAATGACAGCAAAAAGTCTCCTCTGTTCTCATATGCTCATCGCAAGTTTAGAAATCAGTCCTTTTTTGAGATTTGGCTTGAAGAAAAAAGAGAAGAATAACACGCAATACTTGTCTTTGAAATACAGATATTGTTTTAAATATTATATATTTATATATGTACATTCATATAAAACAAATGTGAAATGGATTTTCAAAATTTTCACAGTTTTTAGAGCATGTACTCTAACTTGAAAACAGGGGGCGTGGTAGCATGGTCGATGGAGATGATGGAAGTTAAATAAAAAAGCACTGCCAAAAATGTTCTTCAGCCACGATTTCATATGAAGAGGTAAATATATGGCATGATGTTTGAAGGTATGAGTTGCAGTTTCAAGAAGGTCGATGATCTTATCAAGTGGTGTGCATGTGATTGCTTTTGGATTTACTGACAAATTTCTTCTCCTTGACTCGCCGGTTTTGGAACCAGATGGTAACTTGACGCTCAGAGAGGTTGGTGCCGGCCGAGATGCGCCTTCTCTTGTCTTTGGTGATGAACTTGCTGGCTGCATACTCTTTCTCAAGCTCCTTCAGTTGCATCTTGGTGTAAGGGACACGTTTTTTACGCCCGCGGCGGTAACTGCTGACCTCAGGCTGCAATGGCACAACATCTAGAGAAAGAGGGAAAATGCCAAGCAAAATGTTAATGTTGCGCAAAAACACCGCAATGTGCTACTTCACAAAATCAGCAGAAATTGTATTTGACAAAACTGGTCTATTTCTGAACAAACTTGCCATGTTGATATATAATTACTGACTTTAACTGATAATAAATAGGAAACTAGTTGTAAGGCAATTCAATTTTCAAGGTCGAAACTCGAAGGTGTGTGCGTGTGTGCGTGTGTGTGTGTGGGAGTGGACCAGTAGCAGGGGTAGGTAGAGCTGCCGCCACCTGGCGTCTGATATCTGCTAAATTGGATGACAGGTTAACACAATATGACAACATAGCATCCTCACACAAAGTTGTGGAGGGGAGAGGGAAGGTGGAGGGGGTCATAACCAAAATGCAGTCAGGATCTCAGGTGTACTGCACCTGACATGTAAGAGCACAATTATAGAATCGTGACATAGAGTTCACTAGTAAAATATACTCTTTTGTTACAGTGTTGAGCAAGCTTATATTTTCGTACATGTCAGTATCATGTTACAGCCACTACCATTGTCCTTCGTTTCAAATGAAAAGTGATCAATGTTGTTCTTTAGGTGCATGTCGATACTTAATCTACTAGTAACTATCTACTACACAACCATCCTTGTAAACGCTATCTTAGGTCAATCTCTCACATGTAATTGAACTGGGTACGATTTTGCAAATATAAACTGCAATAAATCTCAATGTGGGTGCATTTCGCACTAAAAAACGTTTTGAAAATAGAAATCACAGACCATAATGTATTTAAAATGTGTTCTCTGAATTGTCCTTTAAAAAATAGATACATACAATTTGGTTCCACTATGTGTTTTTGAAAGCCCCAAAACCGTCTGGCAGTGGCAACGGTTTTTGTTCAGGTAAAGTTCTGGGATTACACCCTTTCGCCAAGACTGGAGTTTAGTGCAAGACAGCCAATGAAAAACATGACAGGACAAGCATGGCAATACCTTGTGAGATAGTGGCAAGCTGTGACTCATTAGGCTTTTTAATGTCTTTTTAAATTCAAGAGTTGTGGATATTTCACCACAGTTTGTGTGAATACAACATTATGGAAGTTCTTAATTTGGTAAATCATAATTCAAATATTATCTTCAAGATATTGTTATTGTTCTTAAATATTAAGTTATAAGTACGTTAAGAATATCTGGGTTACCGTTTTATTATCTCAAAGCAAAAATAGGCCTATGTCTGTTTTTGTGTATGTGGTTTGTGAAGCAATACAGAAAGACATGGACAGCGCACTCTTGTGTTTTTGTGCATGTGTGCGCGCGCATTTGACTGCGTGCTCGTGCTTTCGTGGCTTGCTCTTGTGTATTTTCAGGGCAAATGTCGTGTGATAGAGCCAGTAGAGGTCTGAGAACTTCCCTGTTGGAAATAAAAATTCCCACAGATTTCACATACTTAATAAACCCTTGTGGTAAAAGAAGAAGTGTAGTAAACACTCTGTAAACTGCATACTGACCGGGCCTGTGTGTCTATTAGCATATATCGTGCATGTATGAAAGTAAGCAAAGCAAAAGGAGAGCTTGAATATCAAATATTAACTGATCAGTGGTTGTGAAGTACTAAAAAACTGATGTCCCTACAATGCAAATATTGAATAAATGAATCCTTATACAAGCAGAGGACTAAACAGGTCGCTGAGATTTATTGGCACCACCCAAACACTATAGCAATAGTCACTATATTGTCAGGGAGCAAAGGTATGCACTGTTGTACCTTCCTGTTCTTCGTGACTGAAACTATATTCATCATATGACTTCCGAAGAATTAGAATACAGGCTGTCGAAAGAAAATGCTCCGTTTATAGATGTATTATAAAAAGGGTCCATTCAACTGACATTTCCTTGAACTCACAATTATGATTTTTACGCACAGTTCTAGTAGAATGCATATTCATTTAATGTTAAATGTAAGAATAACATTACCTCTCTAACAGAGTAGGCATGGACATATGATAACTGACATACGACTTGACAGCTGTATGTGTATTCAGCAAACGTATAGTTTCCATGGAGGTATTTCATAAGTAGATATTGGCCCTTTTACGCAGTAAAATAGATAAACTAAGCAATAAATGTTGCTTGAAGAAAAAATGTCCAACCACATTTAAATGGCTATTTGGACGTGATGACACGTGTATTAAAAGCACACACGCGGTGGGACTAACGTGAATAACAGCCTAAAGACAGCTTTAAAAAACTTAACTGAATTTGTACATACCTGGAAAGGGGGATTTCCAAAGATGAGATGACTGCGTTTGTTCTTTGGAGCAGTACACCTGCCCATCCCAGCCATTGGAGAGAGCCCAGTGTTGGTAACCATCCATGGGGATCAGGGCGTCGTGCCTTGGTTCGGGATGGGCACTGATACCGGGCACCACTGACACGTCGAGATATCCAGGGACAGCCTGATATGAGCTGGCGAAACTCGGGTAGAAGGCAAACTCTTTCGCCCTGGTGGACAGTTCTTCCGTGGGCAGCGCTGTGCTGGTCTCGGCATATTTGTCTGCGGGATGGTACGAGCAGGGCTTCTGCTGCAAGTTCACGTTGTGCGAATGAGACAATCTACAGCCGTAATATGGGTTTCCAAACGGATAACCGTAGCTCAAAGATGCACTGGATGACGTTTGAGGAGCGGGACACTGACGGCCGGCGTCTGGAGAAGAAATATCCGAGTAGACGGAGCCCTGGTGGGTCGCTATGGAGCCGGAATGTCGTCCCAGCGCGGGGTGCGACATTAGGTCCCTGCAGTGGGTCGCAGGGCAATTACCGCTCAGTCCCTCCATTGTTTGGCTTTTATTCTGGTTGTTTTCATTCGGGCTTTTTTCATAAACGTACATCAAGGTGTCCGCCCAGCGTGGATGCAGAACCAGCGAAGTCGTCATATCAGGGGCTGCCGATGCTTTTTAAAAGTCGACTACTCCAAGACGGACACCTCATTTCCAACTACATTTTACACCGAGCGCATGCGCACACAAGACCCCCGTGTGTCCACTTCATTAAGAATCTGGCACGTGATACGCTAACAAGTCCTACGAGATTGGGCTTGCGAGTTGGGGCAGAGCAGCCCTTTAAAGACCCACTGCCTCCCATGTCACCGTTTTTTCCTGCAGAATATCGAGACATATCATTGGTTTAAATCAACTAGACCCACACCCTTAAAGGGGAGTATATGGACACTTTTAAGATCGAGGCAAACGAAAACAACCTGTGAATTTTGGCCGACTACGAAGACTGCCAGATAATATGATAACATATGAGACATGTAGTTGTTACATGGAAAGGAGAACAAATACTATATTTCAATTGAATCGCTCAACTGAAATATATGTGTGCGTTTGTGCAGGCATTTTGTGTTTCACTCGTGACAGGGATATGTTCGGCTGAGCTTAAGTTTCACTATTTCATGTTATAATACATATAACGTGATGTAATCTGAAATGCATGCAATGTAGTCAATTTGATGTATATTATATAACAAAGTATTCAACATTAATAAATACAGTGCTCTCAACGCATGTATCCTTCCAATCTTATCCAAACTCCTTTTTGAAGGACGCATTTCCTTAAAACCCGTATGACACTTTCATGGGTCAACTATTAACAATCTGAGATGAGATTCTGTGACTAGTTGTGGATTATTACTTTTCCAAAAGGACTAATATTTATGTTTTCTACTAATCATGCCTTTCAGAGGTTGATATTGTGTGTAGTGGAATAAAACTCTTGCAAGTGTAACCATTCAGTCAGTCAGAAATAAAATCTACTTAGTATCTACAGGGTGTATGCGTGTGTTTTCTGTGGTACAACCAGAACTAAGACTTTGACAAAGATAAATGTGTTGAATGGTTGTCGTTGCACCTTAGCATCAACAGCCACAGGACGAGGTGAAAGCTATTTCAGGTAAAATACTGTCATTGTTATTACCGTTCAGGAGCCTACACAGTATCTTCCATGTGAAGCGATAATTACAGTAATCAGCTACGATGAATCATATAGTCTTCTAGTTTTTGCAGGTTACATCTACATGTGAGCGACATTTTCAGTTGTAGTATTCTCGATTAGGCCCAAAAGATTTTTCAGCGACAACGTGACCAATTTAAATGAGGATTAAACGACTTCATGTGATGTTTCTGTATCACTAAGCTATTAATTCATAACATTGAGTAAGAGGACGCTCTAAGGCGAAAATAAGAACAATGGTCGCTTTCAGAAGGAGTATATTTAAAGATATCACTCAAAAACACTTTAATTGAAATGCGGACCTGTTTTTCATAAACTCTTTTATGCACGCATCGTCCTTCAGATTTGAAAATCTGGTTATAGCTCTATTTTGAATCCAAAATGTATTTTTAGTTCATCTAATTTCCGGACGTTGTATCACAATGCTATATCCATCTCCTTTTACAATAAACACTCCTACATTATTATTTAAAACTGTATTTTTAATTGAAATTATTAGATTGCACAGGCCCAGTCCTCCGTCAAATTGAGTTTTAGCGTTGCCTATCCTATGAGTCACTCATAAAGCAGGCTACAAGCTGCCCTGCGAAGGGTTCCTAGTTTATGAACGTTATTGCACTGCTGAGTTTCCTTGGGAATAATCAGGCCACCGTTTAGTATGTGTATGCCAAGGAAGCTAGACCCCTGTCCCCCCTCGGACAGAGACTATAGTTCTTTTGTCTCAAGGAAATTACAACTAAGAAGGGCTCATCCAAACGGCAGCTGCACGGAAGTCCAAGGTCAAGGTAAAAAAAAACGTAGACAAACAGGGTCGTAATCAGAGTCTAGACAGACAAGAATGAACTTCACACTAGAGTATGCATGCAAACTAGCTGTTATTTAGAGACCCTTACTCTAAAATATCTTCTGTGTGTGAAGAGAGAGAGAGAGAGAGAACTCTAAATAATGCCTTGTGGGTTGATTTTTTTCCAAGGATCAGGAATTTGACAGCTTTTGTGCTGCAGGAAACCGCGGCTCTTTCAAAACGAACATTTTCCATGAAAGCTCAGACCTCAACACAGTTCCATCATCATTTACCAGTTTTTAAATGATAGTAGGCCTATATTATGTTTAGTTTGTTGCATTTTTTCATTCAGCTTAACTTCCACATCAAGCCAAAGTGTCTGTGGTCATAGTTTCCCCCCATGGGATATACGGACAATGAAGCTTTGGTCAAACAGGCGGCATAGTCTTAGTTATAAAGTTGTTAAATACAAATAAATACCAGGATTTGATCAAGTCAATTGTAATGTTGCAATGATCATACATGACACGTCAAACGTCTTTAGGAATCTCCAAATATAAGATTGAAAAGATGGATACAAAAATACATTCTCATAAATTATGTTTAAAAGAGAAATACAATTACAAGAAAGTACTATCTAATATAAAAGGGACAACTAAATAATTCACAACGAACATTTTCTATTTTCAATAACTAATAGACTAGAATTATTCGCGTTGGAGCCAGCCAATTAATGATTAGCCAAATATTAAATATTTAAGCGTCTGCCGCATTTCCACATTAGGCCAACAGCAAAATGAGCACTGCAGCGGCCAAATCTAAAACCAAATATATTCATGCGTCGCTATTATCTAATACACATCCTGCTAAAAGAAATTCACAATGAATTCTAACACATCCAACTAACTACTGCTAACGTTAATTATTTTTTCTTCATTAACATGTTCAAGTCACACAGGTGGATTCTTAAAGGATGTTTTTCTTTTCCAATTTTCACATTTCAGGGCTGTTTTGTATTTTAATGTTATCACCTATATACTGCCTATCAGGATGGTATTTAAAAACAAGCCACCTAACCGCCTATTGTACTTTTAAAGGCAGCCAATGGATATGTAAGATTATATTTTCTAACCATCTAAACTATTTATTGATGCAGCGTTGGATGTTGGGTGGTGCCTTTGATGTGTATGAATTAAAATAGTATGACGCGTAAACCGAAATGTTATTAATTATAAATAATTAGTTGGGTTTAAATTTAAATGTATACACTGTATACAAATTCCTAACACTCAAACAAGTAGCCATGGGCGAAAGGACAAATAATATTCGCGTGCAGCTGTCAGTATTATTTAACCACATTCGAAAATCCAAGTCCACTAAAATCAACCAAAATCCAAGACAGGAAGGAAAAGAACTTCACACTGTTACCCTGCGTCATTAAAGGGAAAATACAATATATAATCACCGACAGGTTTCACATAATTAAAAAAAACACTGCTGCAGTGTCAGTTTGTGCATTAGAAGTGTTTAAAACGTCAATATGTTTGCTGGTTATTACAACTATTCATACAGTGCTCTGGTAAAACTTTACTGGAAAAATATATGCTTTTAAAGAATGTGTTCACATTTCACTGTTTTACGCTCTTAAAAAGCGTAAAACAAATCTACCAAAATGATTACTTTTTCGCTGCAGTTTCACTTATTTCAGGAATTGTTAATTGAAACCACTACCAATATCTCCACAACCAGCCATGATGTGCTGCTGTAAATATCTTGACAACCAGACATCATGTCCTTCCAGACAGGCCATGTCAGACTGAGAGAGCCCGTCTGAGGCGGAGGTTTGTGGGGGAGGGGAGAGCACCCATCCCGATACAAATACTGCCTACCTGCGGCTTCCGCTTTCAGGAACTGACTGCACATGCACATGAGTGAGCAGATGGATTTTATGTACTCAAAATATGCTCTTCTATACACACAACGTATACAAGTATATCTGCAGAAGCCTACGCTCCACCCTATTGAAATCATTCAAAATAGTTCCTCTTTTCCACATTACTACAAAAAGAGTCCAATGGAAACTATTCAACATTGTCATTTATTTGCCTTAATTTAAGGGAAACCTTTTGGCTACACTTTCTGCTGTGAGAGCCCTCCATCAAAAGGACTCCGTGTTTTGTTAAACGCCGCTAAAATGCCAGTAAAAAGCAATACTATCACTTGTCAAACATTGTCTCACCGGTCTTGAGAATGATGCAAATCCCTGCGCATAAAACAGTCTTTGAAGAGGCGAAGTAGCGATCCAAGAATGTGTTGACAGCTTGCAGGTAGACTCTGCGCCATGCATGCTGAAATCAGGCTGCGTTTATGTTTACGAGTTTTCAGCCAGCTTCAGGCTTAGCTATGAGAACTGTTTTTTTATAATAATCAAAGTACACCAAGTGGTAACATTGACAGTGGACAAAGTGAACGAAAGAAAACAAACAAATAGATTCTCACAGCAGTATAAAGGCCAAGTGCATTTTCAAAATGAGGATTGGAAGATTTAAGTGAATTAACATGTCACATTCAATGGAATAAACTTTGGACCCATTAAGTGTCTGAATTAATTAAATGGACAAAAATCTGACTGCAGTGCATACATAAATCTCATAATAAATCAAGGCTGATTTGAAAGTTGCGCATGACTCATGTGCGCATGGTCTGGCGTAACATGTATTTTGCATTTTGGTTCATGTCCTGCAACACTTTCCACAGCAAAATCTGAACTTTTGCTTCCTTATACTTCACGTGGCGTCTGTGTGCGTGTGTGTTTTAAAAAAAATTGGCCTGTTGTCCAGCACGATGGAGGGAGAGCAGAGCAGTCCACTGTCATGAAAACATTCCTCCAAAACTAAAACAGCGTCTGAATCTGGTGTTTTCCCTCCGCCTGGCTTTAATTTACGATCAGAAATGTTCATAATTGCATAAAGCAAGACCACTTGCCTTCTATGCCAGCCGTCAGGGCACGATGTTGGCAATAACATACTAAAATGTTGTCTAAAATATACATAGAGCAGTGCAGTGTTGATGCGTAACAAACAGGAAGAAATGGCTTCAACAAGAGAGGGACATTTCAACACAATCGTTATGCTTAAATAGAGTACTATGGACAATCCTAACGTATTTTCTAGTTGTCACCTTACTCACACAATCTCACTGCATCTGCAGGAACGCATTTCCAACTCAGGACTGACACAAGCATGCACCATTTTGGACTATTATACAACAAAAACTATAGAGAGCAAGGCAGCCCTCAAGTTAAACAAAAAACATATATTGCAACTGTGCCACTGGTTGAAAGCTGTGTTTGCAAACCACACCGACATTATCTTAAGTATTCGTGAAACGACATACAGTGAATAGGGGACACAAAAAGTATCGAGTTTTAGCGTATGGAGGGAGTAACCCCCCTCACACTCATTTTACACCAACACTTTCTTATGTGACTCTTCTTAATGTCATCGAAGATATGCAGTGCCGCACATTTATCGAAGTAGATGCTTTAAATTAAGACATTAGGACTCCTTTAAAATTCAGGAGATTTCTCGATTGTTTCTGTATGAGAATCATTACGAGGTAAATACATATTTTCTTATTTACCACTGATTATATATATATTAGTCTATATACTAGCTGTTGAAAGCCATGCATGAAATAGATTAGCTCCAAGTTTAAGGCTCATTAATTTTGGATTAACTTTGGATTTTACTCGTTTAACCTCACCCAAAGCAGGTAGAAGGATGGCTGTGGCTAAACAGCCAAATGAAGCAGGCAGGCGGAGTCGCGCCCACAGGACGGAGGGCAGGCTGGCACTGCTGCAGCCAGGCCAGACTGGATCTACGAAATAGGTTTACAGCTTTTATA